CGACATCAGTCAAGTGCAACACCTGCCTTGGCTGGTGTCACTTTAGGGCATGCTCAGGTCTGCGTACCACGCGAGATTGTACTGGGAACTTCGAGGGCCCGTGTTGCGCTGCTCGGTCGCAGACCTCAACTGCGACGCCTCCCGCCACCACCACAGAGCGGCAACCATCACAGCAGCGCACACAGCCAACGGCGGTAAGAACACACACATCTCTTACACCGCACATCACGACACGTCTCCCGAACCACATGAAGCTCCTTCAATTTAACTGCAAGGGGCTACAGAGCAAGATTGAGGAGATAACCGTCTTCATGGGAAGGCATGGTATATTGATAGCTGCGGTATGCGGTGTGCCGGGTACAACGTGCACCGTCGAGATCGCGAGCGAGATAATGGTGGTGGCTTAGCGTTCATCACGCACCACACCGTGTCGTATCGTCTTATAGAAGCAGACATCGACAGCAGGGATACCACCCTAGAATGTCAATGTAGATATAGGTGCGCTCCTCAGAGGTGAAAACCGTCTGGTAGTAGCTGACTTAAATGCGCACCACGATTTTTGGCACTCAAGCCTGTCAAACGATCGTAGGGGAACAGACTTGGCTGAGCAGATAGATGATTCGACATTCCGCACAATGAACGACGACGCACCCACCAGGATTATGGGTAACTGCAGCAGCTCGCCAGACATCACCATAGTCAGCGCTGGTCTGACAAACTGCAGAACATGGCGACCTATGCTGACTTTAGCATCAGACCACCTTCCCATAGTCATCTCGATAGATAAACCAACCGACTTTGCCTCCGTCAAACACCGGACCTATATTAACTTCTCTAAAGCTGATTTGAAAGGTTACGCGGAGTTTACTGAAAACACCTTCACTGCGCTTCCCACACCAACCGACGTCCTTCTCGGTGAACGTAAGTTCCGCAGGGCTGTCACTGCTGCTGCAGCTCGCTTCATACCGGCAGGATGTATAACGGACCCACGTCCAAACTTCACTGCCGAAGCGGCTGTTCTAGCCGAAGCTGCTGTTCTAGCCGATGAGCGCGATAGCCTTCGTCAGGCCGATCCCGGAGATCCCCGTATCAGGGATCTTGACGCGGAGATTCGGCAACTAGTAAACGTACATAAGCGGAAGAAGTGGGAGGAGCATCTGAAGACCTGTAACTTCACCTCTGGTGTGAGTAAGCTTTGGCCAACCGTGAGGTCACTGTCCAATCCGACGAAGCTGACGACAGAGTCGAAATTTCTTTCGGCGACCATGCTTCGTTGGACCCGGAGCGATGGGCGAGCTATTTTAGCCGGCAGTTCATACTGCATCCTCCGGTGGACAAAGCCATGCGTCGAGTGACCAGAAGGCTGCACAAACTGCCAATAACCAGTGCCCCCCCTTGCTTTCACTTGCGGTGAAGTTCAGGTGGCCATCGGGAAGGCGAAAGCCTCCAAAGCCATGGGTCCCGACGGAATATGCATGCTGATGCTGAAAAATTTGGGTCCTGCGGGGGTAGCGTACCTAACGGAGGTCCTCAATTTGTCTATGGACACTCTCATCATCCCAGACATCTTGAAGATGGGGAGAGTGGTCCCACTGCTCAAACCGGGGAAACCTGCCAACATAGGAGATTCTTATCGTCCGATAACACTCCTTTCCCCGGTAGCGAAGACACTTGAGGCCTTGCTACTCCCGTATTTCACAAACCACTTGACCCCAGCGAAGCATCAGCATGGTACAACAACAGCACTTAACGCCATAAACACTCAGATAACTCGTGGCCTTAACCGAAACCGTCCCTGTGAGAGAACGATTCTAGTAGCGTTGGACTTGTCAAAGGCGTTTGACACCGTCTGCCATTCCACGCTACTGACTCTTACGCCGACGATTGCTCGATCATGGCGACTGGGAATGGAATTGATGACCTGTGTTCCAAAGTAAACGGGTATCTCTCCGAACTTTCTCGCTTCTTCACTGTAAAGCATCTAGCCCTGTCCCCTACAAAATCCTCTGCGACCCTGTTCACAACCTGGACGAAGGAGGTCAGGCTACCGCTGGGAATTCACGTCGATGATACACCAATTCCGACGGCGAATAACCCCAAAATACTCGGAGTAACATGCGACAGCCTGCTCTCCTTCTCTGCGCACGCAACCGCTATTGTCAATAAAGTACAGAGCCGCAACAAGGTCCTCAAGTCGCTAGCCGGCAGTACTTGGGGCAAAGACAAAGAAACGTTGCTGGCAACATACAAGGCAATAGGCCGGCCGGTTTTAAACTACGCAGTGCCAGTGTGGTCGCCGGGGACTAGTAGGACGCAGTGGACGAAGCTACAGACTGTACAGAACACCGCACTCAGGACAGCGACAGGATGCCTCCTGATGTCGCCCGAACATCATCTCCACGACGAGGCACACTGCTCCCCATAAAGGAGCACAACATAATGCTCTGCAAGCAGTTGCTGATCGGGAGCCACAGAAGTGGCCACCCAAACAGACAGCTGCTTGCAGAGGAGCCCTCGCCTAGGCACGTCAGGAGGCATCTATATGAACTGACGGACGAAGTGCAGAGGATCATCAAGCAACCTCTGGACACGTCAGATTACCGACTGGCCCTGAACGGCATTCACAGGGAGTCAGTCTCGAGTTATGTAGACTCTAGATCTGTGAATGCCGTTCTAGGCACACCGCCCCCGGACATAGACGTGACGGAGCTTCATTTGCCTCGGGAGACACGAACGACACTAGCCCAACTCCGCTCTGGCTACTGCAGCAGGTTAAACTCCTACCTGAGTTGATTGAATGAGGATGTGCCAAACGAGTGTCCGGCATGCGGAGAGACCCCACATGACTTGAAACATCTCTTCGCATGCCCGGAAAACCCGACTACCCTAACGACCTTGTCCTTGTGGACCACCCCAATAGAAGCTGCACGCTTCCTAGGGCTGCCGTTAGTGGAACTTGACGACAACGACTGAGATACCAACCGGTCTGGGCGGTGTTGTTGTAGCCGCTACAGCAACAACAACAACACTCAAAAACTACAGTTCACAAAGCCTTAAAAGACCATCGATTTCATCCCTACCACATTCAACGTGTTCAGGCTCTACAAGAAAGAGATTACATGTCGAAGGTTAGATTTTGCCGTGAAATGTTGCGAATGCATGAATCAGACCTCAACTTTTTTAATAAAATAATTTGGAGCGATGAATCATCATGCAAAGGTGCTGGTTATTTTAATTTCCATAACCTTCACAGTTGGCAGATAGACAATCCTCACGAAATGAGAGAAGATCGTTCGCAGTACCGGTACAAAATAAATTTATGGTACGGTATTTTTAATTGTCAGATATTGGGACCTGTGGAACTGCCGCCAACGCCGAACTCTTACAGTTATTTAGAGTTCCATCAGGAACGGCTTCTAGCTCTTTTAGAAGATGTACCCTTAAACCTGCGGCGAAGACTATGACTGCAAAATGACGGGTGCCCTGCTAACTACGGGCGTGAAGTAAGAGCCCATTTAAACGAAACTTATCCTCGCCGATGGATTGGACGATACGGGCAATCACGTGGCCCACTCGGTCGCCAGACCTGAATCCATTAGATTTTTTCTACTGGGGCTCTCTTAAGGACAAAATTTATTCAAAAACAATTCAAAACGAAGAGCATTTGCGGGAACAAATAAATGGAGCTGCTGCTGAGATAGCATAATTGAGTTTAAGATCTCTCTTTTCTTAAAAGGTGCCGAGCTTGTATTAGAGTAGAAGGTCGCCAATTTGAGCATATTTTATCAATAAATGAATAAATTTTTCTTCAGACAACTCATGTATATTTTATTTCACGTGAAACCATCCTTCACAAAAAATATTGATAGATATAGCCCTTGTTATAGACTCTAGTCCGAATTCCGGTAAGTAACATAAAATAATGTCAGGAGCAGGTAATAATGTACCTCTGTACTATTTAGCACGTCCTTGGTCGGTAACAAGAGCAACTTAAATTTAAATTTATTAAATACATTGTAGCGTGTCTCAGTCCTTTACCCACAAAAGCGGCTATAACTCTTTTTTTGTATTCGAAACAGTAAGAGTGGCACCTTTCTGAAATCTTTATTAAATTAGCAATTTTTTTATGTAATGTAAAGTTGTAGCTCAGTAAATTTTATTTTCACCAGAGATAGTCAAAGTTGGTGAAGAAAATATCACGAATCCCAAAATAGTCTTAATTTTATGATGGTTCCTTAATATATTTTAACTACATTGCATTTGAGTATGGAGAACCAACTATCTGGAAGCATTTTACACAAAATAATTACTAATTATAGCCTGGTTTGTAGATGCAGTTAAATAAAATACATGAAAGGGCACGATTTTTTTTTAATTAAAAAAATGTATATATTTGAAAAACGGTGACACTTTTACCTGAAAATTTTTTGTTTATCAGGGATGTCAAGTATTGAATATGAGGATTTCTATTAGCAGACGCTTTTGAACTTTTTCTTTATTCATTCCCTCTTAAAAATTGCTTACAAGGTTATTCTTCTATTTATAGTGCATACGCATGGCGTGATTTTACCGCTAGATATGTACGTACATAAAAATTTTAAATATATATTACACATTAAACTCCTGCGCAATTCCATTTAAAGGGCCTAACAAAACATCCGATCGCCGCGCAAATACTTTCTCTCCTTTACTCTCATCGTTCGGGTCAAGTGTGAGTAAGCATAAACCAGTTTCTGCAAGCGTACGTAAACTACCGATCAATAGCAAGACGCGTAGAGTATTTACTTTGCCTTCCGCAACTACTGCGAGTAAAAGGTATTTGACAGTAGAGTACTATACTGGTAGTACTAGAGTATTTTCGAAGAAAACATACATTTGTGGCAAAAATGATAGAAGAATTTTCTGGATCATGCATTTGGGGTATCTGAATAAAACTAAGGACAGGATTGTCGTGGAGCGATGAAGAGAGCGACGAGCAAAACGTACTTTCAACCAAGAATGATAGAATACAAAGATTGCGCCGATAGGGGTGCAAAAATTTTTCGTTCTGCGCATCTACGTCATAATATAAAAGTTGTTGTTGGCGATCTGTCAAATCGCATACAATTTCGACGAAAAAAAGTAAATATAGCATAAAATTTAGTTGAAAGTCTAAAATAAAACAATCTGGTGGCAATTTATTGAATCGAGAAGACGGTAAATTTATTTTGTGTTTCTTTTACATTATTTATATTATTATTATTTTATTTCAGGTAGTGGGTAGGGCGTTCAAATAAAAATTGCATTCTGTGGCCGCCGTTGCGCTGGCAAATGGAACGAGTAAGATTCCCAAATGAAATTGAAGCCACAGCAAATAGTGCAAAACTCCAAGGCTTGGAAACAAATATAGAAGCTATACGATGCCAGAAAGACTACAGAGAATCGAAGAGCGCTAACCAGGAAACAGCGTAAAAGGGCCAATTCGTTGAGCAAGGGCGTGCTCATAGCATGGTAAGTAGCATCTGCGACAATACATTACTTTTTACTAACTTCCAATGCGTACTTATTTCAGGAAATACAATGCCAACATAAATTAAACTGCCAAGGCATAAGCAAGAATTTTTACCTGAAACTGTGACGCCTGCCCACAGCATCAAATAAGGATATCGTTCCAATGAAACCCAATATTAACGACGTGTTTTGACGACGATGAACTCTTTGCGAACGCTCCGGGTTTTCATCACCGGGCTTGTAAATTGATGGCACGGAGCCTCGTTTCAACAATCTTCTTTTTGCATAACCTTAGAAATGTTTTAAACACTTTCATTAATATAAACACAATAAACGAAATAAATAAACATCCTACCCATTTCGAACTGCAGACTATTTTCAAAATCTTCACTTGCAAAGTGATGCATGCAAATATAGCAAGTTTTAAATTGGAAATCCTTGCTTTGCCGGCAGAACTGGATCCACTTTTTCCTAAGTTCTGGATCTGAAGGAAAAGTAAACAAACTGCACTCTGCCGCAGTTTTTCCACATTTCGCAACTGCGCACTTCATTTTACAACGTTTTTATTTTATAACTTTAACAAAAATATCACAAATCAATACGTTTTCCTCGCAAACCAATACGTTTCCCTCGCAAACCAATACGCTTCCCACCAAAAATTTTATATTATGACGACAACACTCGAACAGCTGATTTGTAAACAAGAGTAACGGCCCTGCGCAAAGCGCAATCTCTTTATTCTATTATTCTTGCTTTCAACTAAAATGCTGATATACATACCTAAGTACATATGTATGTATGTGCATAGATACGTATGTACATAGATACATATGTGCATAGATAAGTATGTGCATAGATAATTAGGGGATTCCCTTAAGCTCGAAAGTGGCTCGAAAACCACGAAACCTCGAAACTTTTCCAGCCTCGAAAAACAACTGTCAAAAATTGTATGAGTGGCGATTTTCGCGTGCCTCGAAAACTATCGAGGCAAATTAGTCGCGAAAAAAGCCTCGAAAAGTCGTTCGTAAGTTTCAGTGTTGCCTTTATATCCGAATATTCTACGAACTTCATACAATTTACATTTTTCACTTTTTCGTGGCATTTTTAATGCTGATTTTATATGTATTTATTTCAGCTGATGCGATGTATTATACAAAAAACTCTGAATGAGCTGTCAAACTTCGGAATTTCTCCATTGTTTACGAGGCTGAAAAAAGGTGCATTCCCAAAAACAGCCTCGAAAACTTTCGAGGTTTTCGAGTTTTCTGCTCTTCGCGTTTAAGGGAATCCCCTAACTGTTACGATCATCCTCGAAACCTTGAGGGATTACCCAAATATACTCGGGCTCGTATCGCTGGATTGTTAAATAAATGCTAACGATGACCGAATTGTAGTACAATTAATTTTATTGTACAACAAACAATTTACAATACTTGCTAATACAGTAAAAACACTTTACAATACTTTTTAAAGCAATAACAACGCTTTACTACTTGTTAACACAATTAAACTTATAGCTTGCTTATTCGCAACTCGATTCTCCGCTCACTTTACTTGTAGCTTGCTGACTTGTAACTACCTCAACTCCGCTGTGTCGTGGCTCTTATATACCTGCGCTCACACTTATGGCAACTCTAGAACGTTCTGAAGTTTATCGCTCATTCTCTTTCTCTCGCTGTTCGCAGTGTTCATCCAACTTGACGTTTCTCTTTGTGGAACATTCTACGTCATTCCTCGAACATTCTGCCTATTTCTCGTTGTTCGCTTTGTGTTGCCGCAGTATTCGCCACAATACATTTATAAGTGTCCGTATATATTTTTTCTCGTCACTCACTGCAGCAAAACCAAGTTGTGGGGAAAACCCTGACGATATGCGTACAATTGAAACCATGGGTTTGAATATAGCGCAAATTGATGTGAAAATTTCAATTTCATATTAAATATATTTATGTATGCATGTACATATGTACATATGAAAAATGTAGTTTCGATTTAAAAAAATTGGATAGTTTTTCTTTCGCCATTCATCACCTCTCATTTTAGTATTTATTTCTTCTGAACGAGTTTATACATTAGCTGTCAAATTCAACTCTCAAAGGTACACACCAACATGTTGTGTCAAATGATCAGAAAAATATTACGATCATTTACCACGCAACTATTCAGTTGATCAGAAGTACGCAACAACACGTTCAGAAGGTGCAATCGCACCAGTTACTGAACTGTTGCGCCTTCTGAACGTGCAAATGAAAATTCGTTTCTCTTGAAATCAAGTTATATGGCTGCGTATGTATGTACATATGTACATATTCCGAAATTTTTTTTATTTGTAAAGGCTCTCAAGAAAAACTAGAAATTCATATAAAACTACGCACAATAAATGGAAAATAAATTTGCTTCTATAAAAAATTTCTTAAATCAGTATGCAGCTCTTAAGAAAAAAATGCTCGTGCATCTCGTCGCTACCATGTCCAACTATCGAATGTGAAAATCGGCACTTTTCAAAATTTAGATTTGCCACTAATAATTTTATTTCGTATAGCAGCATTGCTTAAGTTATTGTTTTTGACAACTTATTTGTTGGTTAATGACTGCAAATAGTTTTATAGAAAATTAGAAACGAGAAATAATACTTTCATAAAAATTTAAGTACATACATACATAGATTTAAAAAGCTGCTTGAATACAAAAGTTTTATGAAAATGTCACATTAAACATATGTCTAAATCTACGTTATTTTTTTTATAAATAAGGCCGTAAACATTTCCTTACATCGTCAATTTCCATATTCTATTTTTACTCTTTTAATTTCACTGACCAGCGCCGAAAATAATATCAACTAGTAGGCTAACAACCAGAATTGAAATTTAATACGGAAGTACTTACCGTACTACAAGTATACACTATATATACTCCCTTTTGGCAGCAGCAAATATCTCTCGTACGCGATGAGAGAAAGTAGAGTACCTACTTTGGTGGAGTAATAGCAAGTACGTCAAGTATTTTCTCTCTCAACGCCAAGTAGGGTATGTATGCGGAAAAAGAGTAACGATGTGTTGGGAGTAGAGTACAATGCAAGGAGTACTTATTGAACGAAATGCGGCATATACACTTGCGCTGGACTCTAGTACACATACTTATGTACCTAAGTACATATATAGGTAAGTATACGTTTATGCCTATATAAACGCTAAGTGCATACATAAATGAAACGAATAGAAATAAGAAAATACATATGAATTTTAAGAACATAAAACCTTTACTGCTCGGCTTAATGTCCGTGACATCCCCCCACCCGTAAACAAGTTCGACTCCGTCTGTTTACTCCGTATAGCACCGTCATCTAGACCAGTGCTCGTCAAAGTGGTGGTCCGCGGACCGGTGCCGGTCCGTAAGCCATAAGTCGCCGGTCCGCAAAGGGCGTCGCGAAATGGACAACGATTTTTTAAAATAAATAATAAATAATTTTAATAAAACTTGACGTGCTTATAATATGTCTTATTATTATAACTTTACAGTTATTACATTTGTGATGTTTTATATTACTGTTTAATGAGGCTATATACAACTTGTATAATAAAAACAACTTAAATTTGTTAAACATTCATAAAAAATCGCTAATATATGCTATCATTAAATGGTAATAGGTCATATATAGACACCCGGCTAATAAAGAAATTCATTTAAACAAATTTTAATACATATATGAGATGATCGTAAACGAAAAATAATCAATAAAAAAAGGTACCGGTCCCCGACGTAATAGAAAAACTGCAGCCGGTCCGTCACACTCAAAAGTTTGACGAGCACTGATCTAGACTGCTATTTTTGCTACAGGTCGATGTAGTATACCGGATGTAGTTTTGACAATTGCGCTTCGTATTTGACCATCTTTAGCCCTTACAACGACCACAATTCTGCCTTTTGGCCAACAATTTCTGGGAAGGTTCTGATCAACAATTACCACTATATCGTCTATTCGTACCGGAGGTTGTTTTTCAAATCATTTGCTGCATCGGGAAATGATTGGAACATATTCTTTTATTCACATTTGCCAAAATTGGTCAGCAAATTTCTGAGTTTGGCGCCAACGTTCACGCAAGCGAGTATCGACGTTACAAATGGGTTTGTAGCCACCTGATGATTCAATTAATAGATGGTTTGGGGTGCGCGCTTCGTCGTCCTCTCTTCCAAGCGAAACAAAAGTAAACGGCCTCGCGTTTACAACAAACGCCACTTCACATAGCGCATTCCGAAGACTTTCGTCATTGAAGCTATAAGACGGAATAATTTGATAAAGTACATTTTTCACTGTTCTTACTAGTCTCTCCCAAAATCCCCCCATATGTGGTGCGTTGGGAGGGTTAAATCTCCACTTTATCTGATCAAAGGATGAAATGAGATGCTGGAAATCGATTTGCTTAACTTTTACACAAATAATCTTCTCGGCCGCCCTAAAATTTGTGCCGTTGTCGGAGAATATCTCTCTAGGATGGCCCCTTGGGGAGCTACTTCAATGTGTATTGCACGGAGAGTCAAACACGTGAAGATGTCTCCCCATCTCTTTTCGCGTCTTTTCCCACCACAACCGACAGCGGTCCGAAATAGTCAATGCCGACGTTTGTGAATGGCCTCTCGAAGGCTGCAAGACTTGCAGCATGTACGGCGCCCATTTGTGGAATTTGCGGCATACAGATATTATTTTTGCATCGTTGACATTGTTGACGAACTTTCTTGTAGAGCCCTCAGATGATGTATGAGATATTGTCCACGTATATGGTTGACAACTGATTCGTGCATTTGGTGGTGAAACTGTTCATGAGCCGAACGTACAGTGAGGAACAAGACATGGTGAGAAGTAGGCATAACTATGGCATCTTCTCGATTAGTTAGGTGTTCAGTGCGACTTCTGCTTCTTATTATGCCTTTTACGGCAAGTTAGATGTCGAAGGAAAATATTTTGCTTTTTATAGTCTTCCCTTGTTGATGAAGGGTTATCTCCTCACTGAAAATCATTTGAGCGTACTTGATGAGGAAGTGTTGAGCTTGCTGAACAATTTCGTAGCGAATCAGGTATTCTTGCTGAGATTCTTTCGCGTAAGGTATTGACGTAGAGTATGAATGTCGCTACTGCCCTGTATAAACAGCTCCAACTAGAAAAGTTCTCCACGTTTAGCGCTACATTTCGCATTGGTACTCTTTCGGTGTGTAAAACGTAGTTCCTGAGCTCTTTTGAGTTTTCATTATTAGGGTTGATCTCGGTACAATGCGGCCAGGATTTCTGATCTAGCGCCAAAAACTCTGGTCCTATAAACCACTGCTTGTAGTTCGCACAGCTCGACATTTTCGTTGCTAAATCGGCAGA